AGAAAACTGATCGATGAAATAAGACAATGTTTCATAACTAGTTGTAGAAGACTAACAAACTCTCTGAATAGCCTGCCTAAAATCAAGAGTATTCTTTTAAAATCTTGATTCATCCAAAGAAAACTCACAAGTTGAAATTAATGCTACATTTCCCCCCCATATCTTTGGTCAGTTGTACATAATGATGCAAGAAGCTTGATGACTTTAAAAAGTGTGTAAGCAAGCAGAAGCTTGCTAAAATACTGTGAGCAACTCCTTACCAAAACACTGAGAATAAAGCTCTCTGCGAATGGGACAGAGGCCTGTAAGCCTGGCCTGTCTCTGCTGCAGCTTTGTATCCAGCTGTTTCTTCAGTTGGATAACATCTGCTCTTGTAGACGGAGCAGTAGATACCTTCTGCACCCACAGCAGGTTTCCGTCCATCCATTCCCTGCAACATTAATGGTTGAGAATAAATTGTTTGAAATAAATAGGACAGTTTTTACTAAATAAGAACATGGGCATACCTGGGTGGAAAAATGACTTCCAGGACCTCCTTGGTTTCCTCATTGTCTTCACTTATTGCAGGTTTTGATTTAGAAGGTGGAGTAGCTGGTTTGAAGTCTGATGGCTGCTGAGGGATTGTTCCTGTTTTATGCAGCTGTCCAGAGAATACCAGATAACAGAAAAGTTATGTGAAAATTTAATAGTTGAATCTATTTAATAGTTGAATGCACCTAAGAGCACTTTAAAGACACCAGTTAACAGTTGTGTCTTTAGCTGTGGAGGACCAAGAGAGAACAAGCGTATGGTTGAGGAGAAGATAAAAGCTGCATTCAGCAGCTCTTGCTGCAAAGCAACAGGGCTGTAAGCTGTGCAGCCTGCTCTTGAGGTAATGTCATTTAAAGAAACATTGTTCAGGTGTGTACAATCATGGGAAGAAAATAGCCGACCACACTGAAAAAAAATTATCTAGAAATAATTAAAAAATGTTCTTAATTTATGTTGGGAGTGTTGGCCTTGTGATTAGAGCAGTGCGCTTGTGCTCTGAGAAGGTTGCAAGTTTCGATCTCCACAGACTGCCACTCTGGATCCCTGAACCAGACTCTGAACTCCACACTGCCGCACAATGGCAGCCCACTGCTCCCCAAGGGGATGGGTTAAATGCAGAGATAAATTTCTCCAAATGAAATCAATAAAGTTTTCTATTTTTAATCTATTATTTTATTTTAAATTCAGTGTATTTCCCCTTAATTTTAGTAGGTAAATACAATTTGATTTCCATTGGAATGAGTAGTTATTAATTGGCCTTTACTCCTAAAATAAGATCATTAGATTTTATATTCCTGAAATAAGAGAAGGCAAATTGTTTTTCCCTTATTTTAAATGTAAATTGTCTTGAAAACGTTGGTGTAAGGAAAGTGTGGTGTGTAAAATATAAACAAGTACAGTCTGGATATCCTTATGAAGCAAACCTCTCATCAAAGACTGAATCCAGAATAAGAGCTAAAACTTTTTTTTTTTTTCGCCGTTGGGTGAAGACACTCCTTAAGCAATCAACTAAGAAACTATTTATTCTTCCTTGAAAAAAATACTATTTTATTTAGCTGTAATCCATTTTCGTTTAAATTAATTAGTATACATGGAGGCCTAATTGAATTATTATTATTATTATTATTATTATTATTATTGTTGTTGTTGTTATTTTAACCACATAGGCCAAACCTACCATTTCAATGTGACTGCAGCAAACTCACCTTTGGAGATTTAGTCTCTGAATTCTTGATCGACATCGGATTATCATATTTCAGAAGAGAATCAGATATAGGAATCATTTTTCATGCCCCTTTTTTTTTTTTTTTAACACAAAGGAAAAATAAAATAAGTTTTGCCCGCAGACACCGAAACTTATTCGCTCGTTGAAGTTCGTTGTAACTGTCGTCATGGTAACGGTGTCCTGTCGTCCCTGACGTCTTTTAAATGGCATGGCAGAAAGAAGTACTTAAGCTGTGCTTAAATTATCAAAACAAGAACCCAATATATGATCTTTTTTGATGAAGGGTTAGTTTTTCAAAACACACAAAAAACGGTATGTCAGCTAGTTCGACAAATCGTGATTGGAAATCTGGCAATCGGAAAAAAAAATATTTAATTGAATTTATTTTAATTTATTTTTTGACTCAGTAGCCACCTAATGTTCGCTTATGACACTCTTTAATATTTTTACACCTAACAAGAACTATAAATTGTACTTATTAATAAGTAAAACAACAGCACCTTAGATATAAGTTATATATGTGGCCAATTTGAATGTGCAACGTCAAAAGTAGCGGAACTTTTAAAGAAGGCAAAGATTCCGCCGAGATCCATTTTCTGTGTACCACAGGAACCGGAAGTGGTTGTAACGACGCAGTGCCAGAAGTTTTGTAAGGGTTTGAAGCAGGTTTTTGTTGACTTTTTTTGCGTAAAGATGTACATTTAGTTCCACTATATCCATATTGCTACATTTATTTTGTCTTAAAATGACAAAAGAGAAACGGCACCGAAGAAGGGAGTCTCCGACGCGGGAGACCGAAGTAAAGATAAAACAGGAGAAACTGAGCCCCAGCAGGCCACAGCGATCACGTCGATCCAGGTCCAGATCTACCGGGACATCGAGTCCACCGAGAAGAAGAGGGAGCAGGTATATTTAATAAGATCCGTATACAGAATTAGTTATATCACTTTTAGACACGCATTTAGCCTTTGTATTTGTTGATTAGAACATATATCGGGAGTGATTTGTGTCCGTTTATCCGAACAGCGATGGTGTTGCTTCTATTGGGGGGCATTTTTTTTAAACTACATATAGCAATAAATGGATAAAATATACAGAATCTGCAGGCTCGAATACTGATAAAAAATAACATTGAATATATTTTTCGCTTTTTTTAACTGTTTCCTTACTCCCATCCATAACCTGTTGCAGCACTGAATGCTGCATCTTTCTTTACTGCCTCAAATCTATCCTTTTTTTACACACCTATTCGATCGCATCACCATCCATCAATCTTCTCCAGCTTAGTCCTGTCAGGGTCGCGGTGGGGCCGGTGCCTCAGGCAGTCAATGGCCAAGAGGCAAGGTAGATCCTGGACTGGTCGCCAGTGTATTACTCACAGCTAAAGGCCAATTTAGAGAAGCCAATTAACCAATTAAGCCATGGTTGGACTGTGGGAGAAAGCCGGAGCACCGGGAGAGAACCCACGAATGCACAAGGAGAACATGCAAACTCTATGCAGAAAGACCCCCAGGCCAGGAATCGAACCCAGAACCTCCCTGCTGCAAGGCAGTAGTGCTACCCACTGCACTATTGTATCGATTTTCTGTTGCTTTTTTCCCCCCCGAATGTTTTTGGTGTCATTCTAAAATTGGATACTATTTATGTCATGCCCCTGTAATGGGATAGACGCATTACTGTCTGACACAGAGTGCTTGTGGTTCTGGAACTGTTCAGACACCAAATGTATACTTAAACATAATTTAAAGCTGCTTAAAGGTTGATGATGATTTGGAGAGATTATTTTAGTTGACAATAACCAAAGACTTCTGTTTATACACAAAATGAAAATGTAGACCTTTGGGAAAAGGTTTTGACTTTAATATGGTACTGCCTAAAATGACAGTCACATATTTAAAACTAATTGAAGATTTTACTTGATTTCGTAGTGAATGAAGTATTCAAACTTGTGTGCTTAGCTAAGGAGTCTGTTTGGTCTGTCATGTAGATCACCACCCAGGGCTAGGCAGCGCTCGCTGGATGGAAGGACAAACTCTCCTGTTGGAACAAGTAGAGGATCTCCCAGAAACAGAAGAAGCCGCAGTCCTCATCGTGGTGGTGATGTCAAAATTAAGCGGGTAATTAGAATAGGTTTGAGTTTTCAAATCAACAAAATGAGTGGTGCTGGGATTGAAACCCACTATATCTATACACATGTTGGTTGTGCACCAGTGTTCACATCCATCAAACGTTGTGTTATGGTTCTTCTACAAAATTCTGTGTGCTTTACTGTAATAAGGGGGGGGGGGGGTTGTTCTAAATACCAATTAAAAGTTCTTGATAGTGTGGATTGTTTTAAGCACCATCTAATATGAAACTCTCAATCAACTCCCCTAACAATTTATATTAAAAATATACGGAGTCTACCATCTCTGTTTACTACTATAATGATGTAATAAAGCCAGCTGTTCAGTGTAGGATTCCATATATTTGTTTCTTTCTCCATAAACCGTGATGGGTACAGGGCAGACATCTGGAACAAGGTGCAGTGAGCTCTATTCAAAATGCATCAATGTGAAGAGAAAACACTTCACATAAAGAGGCCATCCAAACTATAAAGCATGGTGTTGGCAGTGTTGTGCTATGGTGATTTTTATCAGTCTTTAAATTTGTAATATACAAATTAATTCAACTTTTTAGTTTTGATTTTCTTTTTTTTATAGCCACTAGTAACTTAAAAAAAAGGTTGTCTTGCTGTTATTAGAACAGCATGGAATCATTTCACTATTTTACCAACACTTGCGTTCCATAACATGTTAGGAGGAAGCTTTTATTCATACAAATGGTGTAAATTATATATCACAACATATATTCACTCTGTAAATGCTTTGTTTGTAAATGCCACAGGAAAGGGACGAACATAGGGCAGGTGGTGATGGCCGAAGAAAGAGGAGTGACCAGTCGGATGATAGACGGAGCCGATGGGAAACAGACAGGTCACGGGAAAGGGAGCACAACAGAGACAGGAACCGAGAACGAACCGCCCTGGCTTCTCAGCAAGACGAGCGTCGGCAACATGACGAGCGGCGCAGGGAAAATCGTCAACGGCGTGAAGAAGAAGAAGAGGACCTTAACTTTGGAACATCCGAAGGAGGGAGTGATGACTCCAGAGCTCCTCCTGCTGAGAAAGAGAAGCCCAACTTTGAACTGTCAGGCGCGCTCACCGAAGACACCAACACATTCCGGGGAGTGGTGATCAAGTACAACGAGCCCCCTGAGGCTCGCATTCCAAAGCGTAGGTGGAGATTGTACCCCTTTAAGAATGATGAACCACTTCCTGTGATGTACATCCACAGACAGAGTGCCTATTTGTTGGGGCGACAGCGAAGAATCGCTGATATCCCCATTGACCATCCCTCCTGCTCCAAGCAACATGCAGTATTCCAGTACAGGTGGGAAGAAAACCTGCCATGGCTGTTTTCTGACGATTTAGATGACTTTCTTTTTTTTTGGACCATGTTTAACCTTAATTATAAATGTTAATTGTGGTTGTGTGTTTTGCAGATTGGTGGAGTATACTCGGGCAGATGGCACCACTGGCCGCAGGGTAAGGCCTTACATTATTGACCTTGGTTCTGGAAACGGCACCTACTTGAACAATCAGCGGATTGAACCCCAGCGCTACTATGAGCTCAAAGAAAAAGATGTTCTTAAGTTTGGCTTCAGCAGCCGCGAGTACGTCCTGCTGCATGAGTTCTCCGATACCAGCGAAGTGGATGTAAAGCAGGAGGAAGAAGATGACGAAGGGCTTGATGAGTGATAGCCCATTATACGATATTTGAAATTCTTTTAAAATAAAGCTGTGTGCTTAAAAAATGACTTATAAACTGGTAAAGGCAGGAATTGTTTACTGAAAGCGAGTAGTGTTGTACATATTCTGTAAGAAATGAAGTCTTGCTTTATCCTGCCACAGTCGTGTCAAAGTAGACCTCCTTTTCTCAGGTTTGTGGGATGCATGATTGATCTTCCTGATCTCATGTAATGTGTCAGGGTACCAAACATGACTGCAGTGTGCACCCTGGACTCTTAAAGCTTTCTTATTAACAGAATAAGTATAGACTTACAGATTGCATTTATTTTTCTTTTGACCTTTTTTTTTGTAGAACAAGCAGGAGAAATATTTGTCTCTGCATAACTGCAATGGGTATTCAGAGACTGCCATGTTTTTTCAGTTCAGATCAATTTGTAGTAAGTGTTATTTTTTGTACTGTAAATAAAAAAAAGTGACCGGTTGTGGCTGTTTGACATTCTTAGCGTTCCTGTTATACTTAAAGAATATTAAGTAATGTAGGCTTTGTTGGTGTACATATATTTTTTTATGCATGATTCAGAATGGTAGATCAGATCAGTAGATTAGTGTATATAATAAAAGCAATGATCTCAGGCTTTCCTTTCCTGAAAAATCACCCCAATATGTAAGACACACTATCTCTGCATGTAATTTACCAAATGAATATATTTTTTTGCCAATAGGTTTAGATGTGACTTTGCTAATACTATTTTTTTTTTTTTTTTTTTCAAATTTAGAAGTTGAAATATGTTGAGGTTATAATGTTGTAAAAAAATATAGAAAAAAGCCAGACAGATTTTAATAGTGGATTTGAAAACAATTTATTATTCCAAATGGGAAATCAAATGTAGCTATTAAATTTTTATCAACAAGTTATTGATGTTGAAAGCTGCAGACAGGAATGATCTTTTGTAGTAATCTTTTTATTTATTTTTTTTATGCACTGTATTGTTATTGGTCTTCTGAAGAGAATGCTCAAGTCTTTCCATATTGGCCTTCATCTTATAAAGAACTGTGTGAAATCATCTCCAGAGATTCCAGAAGAGTTCCTAGAAGATAACTGGCACTATAACAACTGGCAATAACTTCTATTTAGAAAAGACAACATGCTATCTTTACTCCACCTCCTAATCCACACTCAGGCTCAAAGCAGAATTGAATTAAAGCACCAAGTATGATAGCTTAATATCTGCTTTATGTCACATTTGTCTGAACTAAGGCTGAAACAATCAGATGAATCATGATTAATGGATTATTGAAATAACTAACAAATTCAGTCAACGATAAATCGTCAATTGGTGTATAGAGACTCTCAAACAGCCCTTTAGTTGACAGCAACCCACTAAGAGCAGAAATTATCTGAAAATTGTAAAGAAAAAATATATAAACATTTTGCATTTAAGATTTTTTTTTTTTTAAATTAACCGGTCAATATGCTCTATCCAGAACACCTCAAGTGGGAAAGTTTGTTTCCCCTGGTTTAATTTTGTAAAAATTCTTCTTTAAGGGGCCTTTGG